GTGTACATATATGTACATGTACATGTCTTACACATTCATACGCGTAATATTTAGATTTATACAATTGTGTTTTATATAATGAAATTTCTAAAAAGATTTACATGTTCTTACAGTTAATGAGTACATCGGTATCTTATTTTACTGTCCTTTATTCAACACGACAATGATAGAAAATCTAGTATCTGTGATAATAAAGTAAATTAGTACAAAGTAGCATTGAGAACTACAATAATATGAATATACATAGATAACAATAGTTACGTTAACAATGTACATAAAAATTAGCCAATCATAGATATTTGTGTATATTATATTAGCAAGTGAGTTGATAATATTTCCAGACAAACGTGATAGAAAAAATATTAAATTAAAATTGTAAGTAGTTTTTATTTTGGAGCAACACTAACAACTTTCTTTAATTAACGAAGTAGGTTTCTAGTATTTATTTTTTAACGTAAAGATGCAAATCTTTATATGGTTAGCAGCGCTTGTTGCAGTCTCCCGATTTTGTACGCACCGTAATATGCAAAAAGAACATTATAACAAACATTTTACAGTGATAAATATTATTTAGCATTAAACGTAGATATTCTAGTTAAAATGAAAATCAAATTAAAATTTGTGTAATTATTTATACTATATTCTATATTTTCTAGTTCAATCCACATCTATATTTAATGTGAAAAAAATATCAATATAATTCACACCATGAACACATCGAATCAAGAGCTACTTGCAAAAAACACATGTATACCCGATGAATGCGCGCACTAGACTGAAGCATCTGACATTGCGAGAATCTCGAGAACAGTGACTACGCCTGCGCAATATACTTATAAGGTATTATATTGAACTTTTTTTTTCAAAAAATGAATATCTGTCATGCTACTTTTGATGTCATATTGATCGCTTAATACTCCATTGTCATTTGAAATACATATCAATTTTTTGTGACATGTGTCTGCATTCTCACGCAGACACTTTACGTTTTACACCGTGAAAATTGAATTGAGTGAGAAAGAAAGTGTTATATTATAATTTACAATACAAGGAAAAGATAATCAACCACGTGTTCTAATAA